ATGATCTTCTAGCGGACAATTTTCCTAGCTGTAATTTTCAGATCACGAAACATCCACAATTGAATTGGACTTCCTTAATCGTTTCAAGGAGTGTTATAGGGTTAAATTAACCTCCAGTTATAAAGATTTACTGAAACTTACTCCTTACAGTTGTAACCACAGTACAAATTGAAAATAAGTAGTAATTGTAATGAAAACGGGATTTAATTAACTGAACAAATTTCAACATAACTCATCATATTAATGCTCTGCATGCATGCAAAAGAGCATATGTGAGTTCTCACAGATGAATAATCCTGAGCCAGTATGAAATAGCCCTCCAGTATTTCCAGGTTTTAAGCGTTGGATTTCATGATGAAGTGACATCGTCTAGAGGACCATTGGAAATCCTGGTAGTATTAGGCAGCTGTTTTTTATCCAAGTTCATTTGGATGGTTATCTAACCGATGTCATTTCATGAATAAATCCAGAAACCTATTAAATCCCTACAAACTAACACTTGAATGTGAATCTCATCTCACTAGTTACTGGCCCTAGTCAAGTAGGCAGTTACCTGAGTTCTTGAAAAATGTCATGACCAGTGGGGTACAGTAGGTCGGATGTGACGAGAAGTACTCACCAAAGACGTTCGTTAGTGGTCACGCCGCATAGTGAATTGGAAGAATTTGGAATTCATGGACTGGATTCCATGGATTGGGTCTCATTGGCCTAATGGTCAACGAGCTCGCTAGCCTTGTAATCAGAATGTCTTGGGTTCGAGCCGTTTTGATGGGTGCGTACTGCCTAAGAATGACAAACTAGGTTGATGATGCAGGTGTCTTTTTGTGGTTGTCCAATGGTTCTTTAACCGATTTCAGTCCATGATGAAATCCTGACTCCAAGGTTTTTCAATGATCCCATGACTGATATCTCTGCAAACCAATGCAGTGAATGAATTATATCCAAACTGAATGTGCAAATGTCTTATAGGTCAACTTCACATAGCAAGAAGGTAGAAAAAGGTAGGTAGGAGAACCTATGGAACCTATGCACCTATGGAGTTCTGAAGATATTGATTTATGGAATGTTTTCTTGGAATAGTCAAATGACAAATTCCTACAGCCGAGTATCAGTTTGAAGAAAAATGGAACCCTATCTGGTCGCTTGCCACTCGCATTCGGCGAATATGCGGCTCTGGTACTGTTGATGAAGAGTTAGCTTTTTGAAGAAAAATCCTCACATAAAGTGGGTTTCTGCCACGTGGTTTTAGACAAGAATATACAGTCGTATCCTAAGAAATAAGGACTTATTACCCTTAAACAACAAGATACTAAACATGACCTCGGAATTCAAAGGTGACTTAGTTTCGCATATCATTGAAAGAAGGCTCTCACAGTCTTTGAAAACGAAATTCTCTGCTGCATCGTTGAGAATAGCGTTTTCCAGTCGACAATTACTGTGCAGTAACCTCAAGGAAAAGATCTCGCAGTCGACCAAATCTATGTATAATTGATACAATTAGTCAGAAGTGACTTTGAAAGTAAAACTAAAAGTTGTGAACTGCGTAATACTCAATGGCACGAAGGAAGAAAGAGTTGCAAATTTGATAAGGTTAAAATTGTTATCAAGTAGGCAGAAAGGGTAGTTGAGTGTCCGAGTGTGAACAAATGTGAAGAGGGTGTGAAAATGCACAAAAGGAACATATATGAGAATGATAATAGTGAAATAATTACTGAAAAGAAAAAGCAAACTAAAAGCACAATAAAAATTTAAAAATTAAGAACTCTTTGCAATACAAGAAAGTACTAGCTCGTTTCTTGAGCACTAGGTAAACTCAAGTCGCGTAGCTCCACTAGAGTTGTCATTTAAGATTGTCTACAAGGTGAGGCAAAATGGTAAAAATGGGCATCAGGTTTCTGCATTTTTGTATGGCGGACGTGTTGACAATTCATCAATACAACCCCGTACTCTGTATACAGAAAACAGTTCTCCAGTCTCTTATTCTACTATTGTCTTAAACTCTTCACTAGTCGTTCCCTGTTTTTTTTTAGTTCTATTTTTAATGATTACTTTGGTTGTTACTTAAATAATTAAATCACTATTATCACTTTCACATGTTCCCCCTTTTACATTTTCTCACCATCTTCACATTTGTTAAATGGACACTCAACTACCTTTCTACTTACTCGATAACAATTTTAAAATATATATGTCTATAAGGGGATTGGAAGAACGGTTACTTATTCAAACTTCCAAAGAAAGGAGACTTAAGTCAATGCAAAAACTGGCGTGGAATTATGCTTCTGTCCATTCCAAGCAAGATACTAAGTCGCATCATCCTGGAGAGAATCAAACAACCCAACCTGGATGAAAAACTTCGTCCGGAACAGGCTGGATTCAGGAGAAACAAATCATGTATTGATCAAATCGCCACTCTACGGATCATCATTGAACAAAGCCTGGAATGTCAGTCACCTCTCTATCTCAACTTCATCGACTTTGAAAAGGGCTTCGACAGCGTCGACCGAGAGGTCATTTGGCAACTACTTCGCTACTACGGGGTCCCATCGACAATTATACACCTCATCCAACAGTTATACGACAATGCTGCATGCCAAGTAATCCACAACGGGAAACTTACGGAATCCTTCGAAGTGAGGACGGGAGTGAGGCAAGGCTGTCTACTATCACCAATGATCTTCCTAATTGCAATTGATTGGATAATGCGACAGACAACGGCAACCAACGAGGGAACAGGCATAAAATGGACTGACACAAAAGACTTGGAGGATCTGGATTTCGCCGGTGATATATGTCTGATTTCCTACAAACTGGAAGATATGCAAGTGAAAAGTAACAAGTTGGCAGAAAAAGCATCAAAGATAGGACTTCACGTGAACATAGATGAAACAAAGATAATGAAGATTCCTAGCCAACATCAACAGCAGCAACACCAACAGACCACAATAAGCATAAATGGGAAGAACCTGAAAGAAACAACCTCCTTCACCTACCTGGGAAGCATCGTCTCAACTACAGGCGGAACTGACGAGGATATCAAAGCCAGAATCGGAAAAGCAAGACAAGCTTTCATTACTCTCAAATCTGTGTGGAGGTCAACAGCACTCAGCATCAAAAATAAGATCCGGATTTTCAACTCCAATGTCAAGTCAGTGCTACTATACGGATCAGAGACTTGGCGAGTCATAAAGAGCATCTCAAACAAACCTCAAACCTTCATTAACAACTGTCTCCGCTCAATACTCAAGATCAGATGGCCGGTGAGAAAAGATCAGCAACAGGGATCTCTGGCAATGAGCGAACCAATCAGGAACCGATTGTGAAACAAATAGGCAGGAAGAAATGGAGATGGATTGGCCATACGCTGAGGAAACCATCAAGTGACATCACTAGACAAGCCATCGCTCGAGTGGAACCCGAAAGGGAGGCGGCGAGTTGGTCGTCACTGCAAGGGTGACTTGGAGGAGGTCATGCGAGCAGGAGATGAAAGCATGTGGACAGACCTGGAGCAGGTTGAAAAAGTTGTCAGAAAACCGAAGTCAATGGAGGTGCGCAGCTGAAGCCCTATGTTCCTCTAGGAACTAAAGGATACAATAATAATAATAAGGGGTGGTGTAGTTGGCTATCTCTTAATATGCCAAGCGAGGGAGCGATAATGGCTGTATGAACTTCTTTTAAATGCATAGTTTAGATTTAATCGTTCAAATGCCTATCACCTGCCTCAGCTATGTATGTTCAGTAGGCAAATACGAAGTCTATTGGAAAGATTCCGTGGGATACGATGAATTACTTTGAAAACTTTAGTTTTCTCCACTACATGACCACCACTAACAATTAAATATGACAAAATAGAGCTCCCTCCGTTATCGGCCTATTAAGAGATAGCCAACTAATGACTTCTACACCACCCCTTGTTTATATTTTCAACCCCTTTATTATCATCCCGCAACCTTATCCCATCTTCATTAAAAACGTGTCTCATTTACTTCCCTTACAATCAGTCTAGCATTACTTAATTGGTTCATTTGCTTTTTAGCCTCTATTGACTACTTCTACTTGAACGTTTGTTTGTTTAATCATACTGTTTTTTCATTATTCGTGTTATCACAGATTGCCTCACTTTTTCATCCTTATTATTGATAAAACCATTATTATTATTATTATTATTATTATTATTACGATTATCATTACTACTACATAATTGACAGCTTTTATTTTTACTTTTAGAGGCACTTCTGATGAATTAATCTATTATGTCAACCCCCTACCCTATTAATCAATAATGTACTACTGTACATTTTCAGTAAATATAAATTCGAATGTATACAGCCAGCCTCTGAATATGATTTCGTCGATAGAGAAAATTTTCTTCTCTGAATTGTCTTTTATTATTTTCTTCATGACTCACTTGGTATTAATGATGAATTAATATGCAGTTGGTTGTTTCGTATTTGCTTCGCTGGCGTAGGTGTTAAGACTCTCACCGACCATGCACATGGTTCCGGGTTCGATCTCCTGCCGACGCACACCTGATATCACAAAAGTTGGGCTGCAAAATTTAGGCAACCGATATCACATGCTGAAAACTCCATACTTGTACCAAAAAATACGGTGTGGAATCAAGCTATAATCAAAATTTAAAAAAAAACAACCAGTTGATCAGAATAAATGTCGACAAAAAACAGTAAATATCTTAAGATTTTTGCGATAAGTTAACCTTTGATATTACATAATCTATTAGATAAACAAACATAAATCCAACAAAAATTGTACCATTTTAATACTTTATATTCCTTCTTAATCACAAGATAACAATAATAATAATAATGATAATAATGACGTCTGATACTTTGCACCTCAAATATCTTATGAAAACTTCACTGGAATAACAAATAAACACACACACAAGAGTGAATACAACACAAATAAATTGTGCTGACTTTGTTTGATCATGACTCTTAGACACATCATAAATTAACCAGCTAATATTTGATACTACAATGCTGTTCGCGTTATTTGTTGTTTTACTTCTTACAATAGTAGGTAAGTTTAATTTTGCCGAGTAAACACTTTTCATGTTTAACTGCTGCTGAACTATCTGAGATAAACTTGAACTGACAGATCACCACCAATATGGTGGGTGATGATGAACGTGAAATAGAAACCTGGTTAGCGGGAGTATACTAAACTGTGATATATGGATGATTAGTCCGTGGGTGTAACGATGGAGTGACAACAATTCACTGCCAATCAGGACGTCGTATCATTCTAATCAGGATATATGTAATGTCTAGCTGATATAATAAGAAGAATAGTACTTGTGCACAGTGGTAGAGTATAACTCCATTGTGTATTTATTTTGATAAAGTCTCACAATGTGTTATACAGTAATATTTAATGATGACCATATTTCCATTACAATTAATTACTGCTCAAAGTCATATCAATTTCCAGGGCAAAAATATTAGATGTAGCAATGGAAGTGATCACTGATGTCCCCTATTGTATCAGATATCTTCATGGATGGATAGCTGGGAAAATATTGCTCTTAACACGATATTTAATCCTACTCCAAAACTATGGTGCAGGATATGTGGATGACACTTTCACACACAGTGTTAAAATCAGAACATATCTCTCTCTAGCTTGTTCACACATATAAATCTACTAGTAAAGGGAATAAAATACACATCTGAATCGACAAATGAACAGTAAATATTAGCTATGATGTTAGATTGCATAATTAAACGAAGAGAAGAAGTTAAACTTCATACTAGTGGCGTTTATATCAATCGAACGTATTCTGCTAATTGATATTTAAACTTGAATTCATCTCATCTGTTATCTGTCTGTGAGTAAAGACAGGCTAAGTGAAGTGTCTGTTTAACAAACCAAGCACTAGCACTCAGTAGTAAAACAAAAAAAAACCCAAATGATGAAATGAAACAGACAGAAGAAGAAGAAAAAGAACCGTTGGTGTTCAATAACTATCCTACAAAATTTCGATTCGAAGATCAGAAAAGGTCAAAAGCAAAATAAAAACAATGGGGAAACTAATATTGATAGCATAACTAAGAGAGAATATATAGGCATCTACAGTAGTCTTACCATATAAGGTGAGGACATCTGAAACCCTCCTTACGTAGGATTCTCAATAAATCAAGAAGCCTACAAATTGACTCAGGCTGGGACAAGCTCTGCAGGTTAAATCACCTGATTTGGGTGACAAAATAATATAATTTACAAAATACCTTGCAATGACTGTGAGTAAAGTCGAATATATAGCTCAGTCAGACTAGTACATCGGGGGTATTTGGATTTTCTGTCGGAACTTAAGAATTTAACTAAGGTTAGAATGATTGACCCCATGAAGGTATGTTTTTTTTGTTCCTTCACGTTCCCCAATGGAACATAGGGCTTCAAGCTAGTGGCCTGAAGATTCTGTAGCAGTGTTTATTTTACAGGATAGGGTTGCTAGCCTCATTCCCAACCTTTCCTCTTTGCCAGCATTATTTCTGGCTCAGCGAGGTTAAGGAGTGCGCCGGCCGGGAATCGAACCTCGGACCATGTGCATGCATGCATCAACACACAATCACACTATTTGGTGGGTGGAAAAGAGTTAAAATTGTAAGAAGGAGTCTAGGTAGGTGGAGAGCGAGAGAAGTTGATTACTGAATCCTTGTTCATCGAATCTGCATTCAACACGTGCAACGGAATACAGATACCACTACCAATCAAATCAAGACATCAGAAATGGTAGAACCATATAAACGAAGTTAGAATGTAATGTGAGTAGTGTTTTGCTATGATTAGGAGGAGTAATGAATTGTGCTCGAAACGTCGTCAGTAAATATCACTTACTGTTTAACACTGTGAGACTTTATCAAAATAAATTTTATCCACAATGGAATTAAAACACCACCTGTTCATTTAAAGTTCCTGTTATCAATTTTATCCGTATTGATTTGAACTTGTTTATCATTTCTTTCAGAGTCAATTTCGTCTTTCAATCACATCAAGGTAAACGTGATGTTTTTATAATGTTTCTTCTGAATGGATTTTCTACACAGAAATAATAAAAGTCTGAATAAGTCCGTTTTAAGCGCTTTCCTGTTATAGCAAAACTGACATTTACACAGCTTTGTTCCTCTCCAGTACTAAAGAATTTCAGTTAGAACCCTAAGGCACAGGATGAGAGCTCTATGCTCAGAAGATGAACTTAGCATTGTATACGATACCTTGATTGAAAATGGCTATCCAGAAAAATTCAACAGGAAACATATGACTAATAAAGTTGAAAAGGACTACTCACTATTCGCAAACAAGAAGCCTCTATACATACAACTACAATTCAAGGGCATTATACCTAGCGAAATAATAACGCAGAAGTTAAGAAAATCAGTTCAAAGAACTTTCAGTGCTGACAAATTACAAGTTTTATTTTTTCCACACGAACAGCTGTAATTCCCGATTTGAAAGATGAAGTACTTAGACTAGCCACTTTCAATTGTTTCTAAAAATTTAACTGCTCTGGTGTTGGGGCGAATTATATTGGTTGTTGCTCTAGGGTCTTGATTTCTCGTGCTCTCTCGAGAACGAATCCTTCTGTTTCATCCACCGAGTACGAAAACAAACTGCTAGAAACATTCAGGTACTGCAAACTCTAAACACCTGAGACTACTGCGATTCGTGTGAAACAACCAGTGCTCGCTGTGCAGAAGAAACAGGTCCAGCCAGCCACTACTGCTGCCCTGGCCGGCTTTCAGTAGAGACTGTAAATTCCTGAATGTGTATTATTTTATTTCCTAATTTTTTCGGATATTCAGTGCGTATTGTTTTGTTGATGTTATTGATCTGTAATCCGTTGATATTATTATTATTATTGATTCGATGTTATTTAAACAACATTAATTTTGTTATCAACACTAATTCAACCACTATTATGCATACATAACTGTAGAACCTGTTAAAGAGCAGGTTATCGAAAAGAATATTCTTTGTTCAGTGACCATTCTTTTTATATTTTTCACACTATTTAAATGAGTATGTTAGTTAGGTAATAAAGTTCCTCAATTTCAAGTGTACGACCATTAACAGCTACCTTCAATCCTTTCTAAAGATCAAACAGCTAGTTAGAAATGCGAAGCAACATAGAACTCTAACAGCAAGTCAACCAATAAACATGGACTGGATGGACTGGACACACGCCAAAACGACAGTTGAGTGACACAACGTGCAAATGCCCTCAGCTGGAACTTGAATAGATAACGACGATTTAGGCATGCGTCAAAGGGTTAGTGAACATAGGGAAATAAAATCTGATAGGCATTCATGTAGCCCACTTCAAAATAACTGCTTAGATCCAACTGAAATAGGGATGTACTTCTTAAGCCTTATGCTTAGGTAGAAACCCAAGAGAATAAGAATAATCCTTTTAATATGCTGGTGTTCTAACGTATATTAAGTGCTTCAAAGGCTCAGAGTTAGGGTGCTCGTTTAACATGCATATGGTACAGAGTTCAACCCACCGAGCTTACGTAAATTTTCACCTCCCCTAGAAAGTTGTAAGCCCGACAGAAACAGGGAAAGTTGGCCGGTGAGGCTAGTACATCCCCCCTCCAAACGGCTACTGAAGTTTCAAAGCTCAAACTTGAAGCTTTGTGTTCCACTCGTAATAGAAAAATAAAAATTACATCATTGAAACAAAACGATTTTAAGCACTTTTTCTAACTCTATGTAATAATGTTATTTTTTCTTTCTTGCTCTAGGTTACTGAGAATAATCACTTCGATAATAGCGGTAACTCGAAGAGTACCCTGTCTGACTGTAAGATTTCACTCTCCTTAAACTTTCTAATGCCTATTTGTTCTAGTGTGTCAGATATGTCAAACAGCAGTCAATTATATTCTATCAGCTTTAGTAGAATATTTTCAAGTTCATAAAATTGATGATTACATTGAAACATTTTGCAAAATAGCTGGAAGTTCTAATGTATCAGTAAGTTTTGAATATTCCCCTTCGTTTTTACTCACGTTTTGCTACTTAGTCTTGCCGCTTACAACTCCATCAAAGTAGTAGTATTATTAAAGCAGAATTTACAAAATCCACTCAGCTTTCACTAGATATCGTGACTTAATCATCGTTCATCAGCATGGGGCAATTTTTTTAGGTTTTTGACAAGTTGGTCAGTTGGTAAAGATAACAAAACCAAGTGTTGTTTATCAGATTCGAAAAGCATGGCTTTACATCATTCCTACTCAACAGACAGTTTGGATTCCATTCGTTCTGAAGTACTTTGATATGACGTATTAAACGTTCTCAGTGATCTCTGCAATCCCTCTGCATTATTTAAATATTGTGGAAATCGATTGCGTGACCTGAATCTATAATGTAGCGTGTGTGTAGATGACCTATGGCTGATAATTATTCAAGCTTTTATAGATCACTAACTGGATTTCTCGGTGGTCAAACAGACACTCACCCCACTGTCTTCATCCCTTCTCATTACCTTGATTTCTGTCAGGTGAGGTTGGTCCGATGCATATCGCATCACACTGCAAGCATCTTATTTTGTAGACATAATTAGATTGAGAATGGCTTAGGGGTTTTATCTTTCAGACAGAGAAGGCTGCTTCGTAGTGCAAGTGTGTGTGAGTTTGATGTTTTGAATTAAACCCTGATGTTGTGCTTATTGACTACTCCTCGTCTGACGTATCTAATGGTCTATAAGGAATGACAACAACAGTTTAGGCACATGTTCACTATCATGAAGTTTTATATATCCGAGTGAATGAAAAACAAAACGATATTGTCCAATCTACCCACTTCTCGCCATTTAATGCTGCTGCTAACAGCTTTGTCAAAGTAGTATTATTAAACGAGAATGGGGTCATTTTTGGGTTGTTGTCGATTTGGCCAACGGGTAAAGATAACAAAACCAGGTGTAGATTGTTGGATTTGATAAGCGCATTAAATGATGAAATTGCTCACCACATTCGTGTAGATTTTTTCATTTCATGGGTGCCGATGTTGGTGTTGTCACCAGGTCAAATTCTGCTTTAGTCCATCATTCTTATTCTTCAGAAAATCTGGATTCCATTTCATATAAATTGCTTACCATGGTATTAGACGTTCTTTCTCATTCCTAAAATCATTCGGCATCATTTCAATATTGTCGAAATCAATTTCGTGACCTGATTCTATAGCGTAGTGTTCAAATGATCCATAGCTGAAGAGTATTCAAACTTTTCCAGTTCAACTGGATTTTTCGGTGGTCAAAAAGACACTCACTCTACAGTATACATTTCCTCCCGTTACCTAGATTTCTGCCTGGTGACGTATATCCCACGTATATCGCATCACACAACAAACATTTTATTTTATGGTCACAATTACATTGGGAGTGTTTTTACCAGTTGATCACGGATTGATATCAGTTAGAGAAGCATTGGTACTGGACAGCTGCTGTTTTATCCTAGTTTGGGAATCATTGGCAGTAAGTACCCACTGGGATTCAAACCCAGGAAACTCCGGTTACAATGCAAGCTAGCTCGTATACCATTCAGCCACTCAGACCCGATTCATTGGCCAGTGCATGAATTCTAACTTCTACTAATTCATGATTTAGCGCGACCCCAACCATTGTCGTTGGTGGGATATCCATCCACACACCTGACATCTAATTGAACCTCACTGGTCACAACTTCTCACTAGAACTTCAGGAAACTCCAACCTGTAGCAAGTCACTGGCGAGCATCAGAATAATTTTCTATAGTTTGGTTTGTAAGGGTTAGTTATGTTTTTTTACGAGTTGATCACGGATTGATATCAGTTAGGGAACCATTGAAAACTAACCACAGGAAGTACTGGACAGCTGCTGTTTCATCCTAGTTTGAAAATCACTGTGATTATCCGTGGTCAACTCGTAAAAACATAACTAACCCTTACAAACCAAACTATAGATTGGGAATGCTTAGGGATTTGGTCTTTCACGTGGATAACGTTGCTTTGTATTGTGTGTGTGTGTGTGTGAGTCTGATGTTTTGAAGAAAACTTTAATGTTGTGCTTATTGAGTACTGTTCTATTCTGATATCTGATGGTTTATATGGAATGACAAGAACAGTTGAGTCGCATGTTTTCGGAATACATTTTCCGTCATATTCAATGTGGGTGTTGATTTGGTCTATAAAGTTCTTTGAATGATCATTTTTGTTACGAGAGAATTTCAGTAATGTTTGATGTTTCTTCTTCTTCCTTTTCTTTCTCGCCTATTAACATCAAAGAATGTGGTCGTCTAAGAAGACTCGAAACAACTAACAGATTTGCGCTGATGTGGTGTGATGATGTGGGTGGAAGAGAGTTTTCTTCCTTGATGTATATAGATATACATACACTGAAATATCCGTTTTCTCTCCCTCCTCTTAACTAGGCAGTCTAGAAATAGTAGTTCATCAAAGTCTAATTCTGCCTGCTTCCGAAGTAAATTGAATGTTCGGAGATAGATTGTTCAGTTTCTCGAAGAATGAATTGTGTAGATCTCGTTTCAGCACAACACTTTATTGATAGAAGTGAAGACGCGTTAACAACTATTGAAACTTCTGCATTTCACTTTGGTGAAACAACAGCTTTTCCTTTAAAATTACTCCTTATCAATAAATATCACCTGAATTCCCATTTATTGCAAACCAGTCATTAGATATTATTGAAATTATTAAATTAACAAATCAGTAAGTGAATTAAAGTAGGAAAGACATTTTGAAAGAAACGTAACAGTGAATATGTTTACAACACTTAACTAGAAAACAATGTTCTATGAGCCCGTTCACCCTTTAACTAAAGTTACTGGGTTCGAACCCTGGCGGTGGGTGCTTGCTGATGAACAATGCCAAACTAGGCTGAGGAAATGAATGTCCAGTACTCCCAACTGGTGGTTTTCCACCGGTTCCCTAACCGACGTCAGCTCATGATGAAATCCAGTAAAATAATAATCGTTAACAGATCGCAAATCAGCTTGCACCACTGTCTCCATAAAAGTGATTACATGATCGACGAGCTCATTTCGTAACCTAAAAGTTTTGGGTTCAATCTTGGATAGAGTCATAGGTGTGTGCTGCTGAAGAGTCCTGGACTGGGGCGAAATGACTGACCAAATCTCCACAATTCGAAATGGTTCTCTAACCGATGTCAATGCATAATCAAACTTGAAACCGATTATTTACACGTCTCAGTGATTCAAATCATGGGTACATAGCTAGAGGGCTTATTTATCTTATCCTATTATATGTGTAAGCAGAAGGTTGTAACTTATAAAGAATTAAGTAGCATATTAAATCTCACTTAATTAACATTTATTCGTTTTAACTAGTCTATTGGTTTTATTCAACAAATTATCCGCAGAATACTGTGAAACCACTCTCTATTAGAATAAAATTCAATGTAAGCTATTTATAAGAGAAGTGGTTCAAAATTAGCCTTTAGTGGATGGCAAACCCTTCATACCCTGATCGTTCGCTAATCCAGTAATGTATGTTATCCGAACTCGAAAAATAGTGGAGTAACGATTCTATGTGGTTAAGTACTCGGTACGATATTCGGTCTTGTAGGCACTGTACGCTATCAGTGCCTCTGATACTATGATTTCTAACGATATGTATTCCAAAATATGATTATTTAATAAGTTATGTCAACCTGAATGCTAGTCATAACTATATTTTGCTTCTAGTGCTCAGCTTTACTGGCAGAATATGTTTCAAATGCTGCTGAATTGATTAATTCCACAAACCCGATTACACCATGCCGAGTAAGTTCAGGTCAACACGATTATTATCTTCTTATGTTTTGAAAACTATTTTTTAATGCTGTGTTAAAATCAACTTTATTGTTGTTGTTGATCCCTTGGGTTCCTAGTGGATCAACTGCACGTCTCCACTTACTTCTGTCTTCTGCTGTACTTTCCACCTACATCCATGTCGTTAGTCTATACTGTTTCAACTCCTCTTCACACGATCTCCTCCATGTCACCCTTGCACTGACGTCACACTCGCCGCATGATTCCTTTTTGGGTTCCACTTGAGTGGTAGCCTGATGCGTGCGCGATGTCACCCAGCAGCCTCCTCAGCGACTGTCCAATCCACCTCCACTTCGTCCTGTATATTAACTGCTGTTGGGCGATTGGTTCTTGTTTTGTTTCTTCCCATAGTTTCTTGTTGGTGATTATTTCTGGCCCGGCCATCTGAGTGATCTTCAGTATAGAGCGAAGATAATTAATGATAAAGGTCTGCAATAGCCAGTTGTAAATCTTCATTGTGATCTACCCGCCAAGCTTCTGATCCTTGTAAAAGAACTGACTGACTTGACGTTGTTTGTATTGAAAATCCGACCGAATTTTGTTGTTGATACTGAGTTGAGTGACGAAGATTTCCAGGTTGGCTTCAGGTTGGTGGAAGTGTTTCTCGCCTCGCCGATTCTCACTCGATTTAACATCCTCGTCCGTTCTTGCTGCCTGTAGTTGAGACAGTGCTCCCTAGATAACTGAGTGAATGAAGTAACCTCTTTCAAATCCTTCCCGTTGATGGTGATTGGCGCTGAATGTTGCTACCTTTGTTTTTGCTAGTTGGTTGTTTATTTTCATAACCTCCGTCTTGTCTATGTTCACATGGAGTCCTGTCTTCGCTGGCTGTTTCTTCGACCAGTTTGTCGGTTTTCGCTTGTAAGTCTTCGATTTCGTGAGAGTGATATCAAACATAAATCATCCACGGGCGAAATCCAGGTCTTCTAGGTTCTTCACGTCGGTCGGTCCAGAATATCCCTGTCTTCTCGTTTCCAACTGTTTGACGCATAATACAGTCTATTCACGACAATTAGGAATATCATTGGTGATAATAAGCACCCTTGTCTGACTCCTGTGTTTACTCTAAACGCCTCGCTGAGTTTTCCTTTGTGGATCACTTGACATATGCCGTTGTCGTACAGTTGTTGAATGAGATTGATGAATATTTGGGGTACGCCGTTGTACTCGAGTAGTTTCCAAATTACTTCACGGTCAAAGCTGATGATGCGTAGAGTTGCAAATTGGTTTGCCTTTCCTGAATCCAGCTTGTTTTCGTTGGAGTTCTGTCTCCAGTGCGTCCTTTAATCTCTCCAGGATGATGCGACTCATGATTTTACTTGGCGTCGATAGGAGCATGATTCCTCGCCAGTTCTTGCAGAGTCCTAATTCACCCTTCTTTGGTAGTTTAACGAGGTAAACTTTCCTCCAGTCTGTAGGCACCTTTCCCTCCTTCCAGACCTTTTGTAATAAGGGAGTCAGTATATTTGCTGTTGTCTCTGGGTCCGCTTCCAGTGCTTCAGGGGGTATTCCATCTGGTCCGGCTGCTTTCCCAGCTTTCAGAAGCTTGATTGCATTCAAGACTTCAGCTTTCTTTGTAGGATTGGAGTCAACTTGCAGTTGTGCTTGCACTGTTTTTGGTATTTCTGTACGTGTTGCGGGTGATGGTCGGTTCAAGGATCCTTTGAAGTGATCCGCTCATTGTTTGATCTGTCTACAGGGTGTGCTAAAAAAGGAGTTATGAATAGATCTTGTTTGTCCCTTGTTTAACAATGCTGGATGACGTCCAAAAATACGATGATGAACCTGCCTAACTGTACTTCCAATGCCGCTGGTTCCGCAGATGCATTCAGATTGGTAGATACGCACAGAAGAGGCAAATTTAGGTCGTTTATTTGTCGAACATAGATCAGGGGTGATTGTGAAGAGACAACGTACCTCTTCTGCATATTAAGCTCTTTTAACTACATTCTTCAAGCGCTGTGCTATTATCTCTCTCATGTTGTCACCGAGAAACTGAAGTTTTATGAACAGTGGTTCTTTTTCGGAACTGTTGCCTTGCTGACTTTTCTTGGTGCTAAATTCATATTTTTGTCAATGAACTTATCTGGATAACCATTTATTCTGAGTAATTCTATAATAATCTTAGGCTAATCATCGAAGGAGTCGTTTGAACAGATTTTCCTAGCTGTATGAACCAGAAAATTTACCAGGTTACGTTTATGTTTCAAAGTTGAAAAATTCAAAAACAAATGAATGTAGTGACCTGTTGTAGAAGCTTTCCTATACATTTTCCTTCTTAGTGTGTCATCTATCCTTGCTATGAAGACGTCAAGGAATGAGATACTGTCATTACCTGCTTTCTTTGCGCTGAAGTTTATTGTTGAATGTACATCATTGAACTTGTCGAGAATGTTCAATGCTTTATCTTCGTTTTTCATAACCAGAAATGTATTATCCGTACATATTGACAGTAGGATGTCTTATGTTTTCCATTTACTAACATTCTTAACGTTTCTTTTTCCAAAAATGTTGTACCTGTTCCAAAGAAAGACATTAAAATAGTCCTTGTCCCTAAACCTGGAAATAGCAAGAAAGAAAAGTTCAGACCCACTGCCATCACTTCCCCGTTTCTAAAGCTTATGGAAAAACGAGTATTTCTTAAACTCGAACCCACCCTTAAAAGCTTTGAAGACCCCAAACAATTTGCATATAGACAGGGTAGAAGCGCACTTTAGACCCTGCAGTTGTCTTACACAACAGTATCGTCTCATCATTAGATAAAGGTGCCAAATACGTCCGCCTCACTTATCTCGACTTCACTTCTGCTTTCGACTCTGTACCTAGATGTATCTTGATAAATAAGCTCTCTGTGACACAAACTGAGTCCTGGGTCACTAACTGGTTGCATTCCTATTTCTCAAACAGAATGAAGTACACTGTGTATAAAGGTAAATCCTCCTCTGGTGTGCTCGCTGAACCTGATGTCCTCCAAGGTGCTGTACTCTCCTCACTTCTCTATTCTTTCTTTCTACATGACTAACCATCTTCAAATGACATTAATTTTGTTAAATATGCCTGTCAAGTGTCAAATTGACTGCTCCAAACTAAATTGCTTTTTAATCAGAAATCAGCCAGAGGTCCAAGGAAAATGGTCTTATCTTAAATCCCTCTAAATGTCAAACAGTCAATTTCACCTTTAGGCATAAATCTGACCTAAACAAAGTGGGCAGCACTCACGAAGTGTGCAGCATAGATGGCACTGAAATAGAAACCAAGTCGGAAATTGAATATCTTGGCGTCATTCTATCTGCTGATCTTTCCTGGTCGTCTCATATCTCGGTGATTTCAGAGAAGATATTACATCTTACTTTCTACATCAAGATGTTAAGATATTCTGGAATAACCCAACCCAACCCTTACTCTTACGATTCGTTAACTCTTGCATCCTGCCTATTATTCTCTTTTGCTCCTCCTTAGTTTTTCCAGAGCTGGTTACTGAAGAAGGACTATATCTTATTACGTAGGGTATTAAAGGTTGTCAGTAGGGTAAGCAATGTACCACTTAACCAGCTTCTTTTCTAACACCTTAAAACATTCTGTTCACTATTGGCTTTGCTACCGATATGCGCTAATATGATGTTGTCAAAATTAACTGAGACTACCCAAAATCTATGTAGAATTTCATTTACTGTTAATGTACTAGCTGGATGCAAAACTGTAGTGAAATGCCGAGAATTCCCATTTTGTATTACAAGTACTGTTTTGAAATAATAATAATTATTATTGTATCCTTTAGTTCCTAGAGGAATATAGGGCTTCAGCTGCGCACCTCCATTGCCTTCGGTTTTCTGACAACTTTTTCACCCTGCTCCAGGTCTGTCCACATGCTTTCATCTCCTCCTCGCATGACCTCCTCCATGTCACCCTCACACTGACGACCAACTCGCCACCTCCCTTTCGGGTTCCACTCGAGCAATGGCTTGTCTAGTGATGTCACTTGATGGTTTTCTCAGCGTATGGCCAGCCAATCCAACTCCATTTCTTTCTGCCCATTTGTTTCACAACCGGTTCCTGATTGGTTCGCTCCCAGAGATCTCTGTTGCTGATCTTTTCTGGCCATCTGATCTTGAGTATTGAGCGGAGACAGCTGCGCTTTTCGACTACTACGCTACATTTTGAAATAAAGCGAATTATTATTATAACATACTGCTAAGATTTCATCAGTAGTTAAAATGGTCATATAATATTCAAAGTTGGTGTCATCTTTAAAAAATTGCTGGTTTATTTATTCTTTTAATATGAGCAATTCAAATTAGAAAAGCTTTCTAAAAATCTTTTTACAGGCTCTCATTTTATGCAAATAGTGAGTCAATCTACTATCACTTTTCAAATATTCCTGCTGTTGTTATTATTCCATTTGGTTCCGTTTGAAATTTATAGGGTATCAGCAGTCAGTACATCCCCATTTCATCCCGTTCTCCTCAGTTATTTAAAAAAAAATATTTTTCTTGTGTATTAAAGTTTCTGTGAAAATGTGAATGGTTTTGCCGGACAGGATCGCTAGATCCACGCCTAAATCTCTCACCTTACCTGGACTGGTGACAGACTAGAAAACTAGTAAACTACCTCCAATGACCATCAACGAGGGAAGGTTTAACAGAGGTTACCTCCTTCACTTATCTGACTAGTAAGCATCGTTTCAACCATAGGTAACAAAATGGATGCAGATGTGAAAGCCAGTCGGAATCAGAAATGCAAGATAAGCATCCATCAGCCTAGCACCAGTTTGGAAATCTTGTTCACCAACTCACCCAGCTTAAAGAGGAAGATTTGGATGTCAACCACGTCAGTCAGCTCTTTTCTATGGATCAGAAATGTGACGGACGCATCAAGGAAAGCATTTGCAACCGCCAGCTGCGAACTTTTATCAACAGTCGCCTTCTCTAGCTCTATATATATTTTTTTAAGATCAAATAACCCGCTGGCCAGCAAGAACTAGCAAGAACAAACTAAAAAAGAGTCAGTTACTCAACAAAAATGTAGGAGACTATGGAGATGGATGAGGCACACGCACACACAGACACACGTTGAGGAGACCATCAAATGATATATCACTCTAGTCAGGTTATCGCTGGAGTGGAATCCCAGTTAAAAGCGACGAGTGAATCGTCAGTACGCGGGGGATTTGGAGAAGATCATGTGTTGGGGAGGAGGAAGAGAATACGAAAGATTTGTGGACAGTCGTGAATTCAGCCAGCTGGAGAGAATAGAAGAAAACAGAAAAAAGTGGAGAGGTATTGTTGAAACTCTTTATTCCACTCGGAACTCAATGGAATAATAATAATAATAATCCGCAGTCATTTCAAGCTGATTCCACGATAGCCCACAAGCTTTGATTTCACTCCTCATACACTGTTCTCTCTGATACCAACCTTCATGCCCAACTCATGGTTTCCTGTTCAGGTTCCAACCGAAAACTTAACACGATCTCTTTCGACAGTCACCTCAGAACATGTTCATTTCAATGTTTCCAATTAAAACTTCCTCAAGCTTTATTTAAATATATACTGTTTCACATATAAAATTTCTAACCAATGATGACGAACTTATGAATCAAAAATAAGTATTGAATGATCTGAAGACTTCAGTAATCAGAGCAATTATAATACATATTATAAGACAGTTGCTTTGTAGGGATTTGATTCGTCTTTCAACCTCGATCACGGGTCGAACCATTGACCGGTGGGGTAGATCCTGTCGGAAGTAAGGACAAATGCTTACCACATATAACATTGGCTGATTCCAGTTGCACTAAAATCACGAATTAGTAGAAGTTAGAATTCATAAGCCAGTCATTATATCTGGTCCCAGTGGCTGAATGGTACACGAGCTCGCTCACCTTGTGATTGGAAGGTCCTCAGCTCGAAATCCGATGCTGAGTGCCAAACACCGATGAATCACAGGCTAGGGTGACTGTAGACAGACGGTATTCCAGTACTCCCTGTGTCTGGTTTTCACTGGTTCTCCAATTTATATCAATCCGTAGTCAAACTTTTACTCTTCAAAATTAATATGATGCTCGCTAGTAACTGGTGCCAGAACGGCGGCAAACCGGCGTCCTAAAGAGAAATAATAACCAGTTAGGTCCATTATGTTGGAAGTGAAGACAAATGCTCATCATGGATAACACTAGCCAGTTGATGATCGCGCTAACATCACCAGTCGGTAGAGGTGAGGATCTATGGACTGGTCACTGAGAGCTCGGTGTACAGTGGCTGAAAATGGTCTACGAGCTCGCTCGTCTTGTAACCGAAAGGTCCTGGGTTCGAAACCCAATTGGTGTTAATTAGATTTATTTAGCCTAGGGGAGAAACAAATCTGGAACTAATTGCTTTTGTCCATCAAAACTAGGGCTGTTCTCCTGAATTCACAGAGTTCTGATCATGTGTAAGAGATTACTTCCCAATCTGTTAGAAAGTTGGTATGCAATGCCATAGATAGCCAGTCCACCTCGGAAATGATACCAACAAATGAGTCAAAATGGACCTACCTATGGATTCTATTTGATCGGAGGGTTCTCAGTAATGCGTTGGTTAGGCATATACGTCAGCTATTATTCCAACAACTATGGTCATTACTTCACAGATGGAAACATCCACTGACTGGTTAACTTACAATTTTTCTATAGGAACTGAAAAAACTCAACCCAGTCTTCAGGAATCAACATTATCTGACACAGAAGTCGTTCTGTCTTGAAGCTGTTGTGAAGACACAAGCAGATCGACTACAAAAGTGTAAAGATCAATGAATACCAAATCATCTAATATCTGAGATGAAGGCATATACGGGTACATATGAGGTAAAGTTGACCTCCTAAGATTTTTATACGCATTAGGAATTAGGATTTTTTTTATTCATGTATTCCATAGTCCAGATTTTATAAATATAATAGCTTAGTCTTATCAGGCCAGTCTTGGGTATAATTTCAGGGGACTGTCGAATGACATCTCGCGCTAGCCACGCCACTACTTGAATTGAATCCCAATGGGAAGCGACGAGTGGGTCATCGGTGACAGGTTGACGTGGAGATCATGAGAGGAAGAGATGAGAGACTATAAACAGTAGTGGGTTCAGCTAGCTGGCTGAAGAGGACATCAGAAAATATAACGAAGTGAAGGTTTGTTGTTAAAGCCCTATGTTTCATTCAAAACCCAAAGGAATAATAATGATGATAATAATAATAAAGACCGATATTATTACACTTCGCGGATAATAAGATATTTATTAAGTTCCCTAATACTGATGTGCATTCAATGTTTTCTCTTCCTCCAGGCTCTGGATATGTGTTAACTTTCCCTGGTAAATGCAGCTTTGTGGCGGGACAGTCAGTTTTAATGTTAAATAAAATAAACGTTCATATTTTGAAAGACTTTTACAGTGTCCTTTTACATCAGAATGATGTAGTCATATTTTGAAAGTAGGTTAATACTATTATGCGTACAAGTTGTCCAATTGGCCGTGATAATAGTAATGATAATAATAATAACACTGATAATAATAGTAGTACTGATTCTATCAATAACGGAGTTCCCTGGATTTTTAGTGGGAAGTTATGACTAGTGACGCCCAGCTAGTCACGTTTTAGGATGGATTTCCCACCGATAACATTAATTTGTGCTAGTCGTGCTAAATCATTAATTGGTAGAAGTTAGAATTCATGAGATGGCCACTGAACTGGATCCCAGTGGCTGAATGGTGTACAAGCTTGCTTGCTTGCTTGTAACCGGAAGGCGCTGGATTCGAACTGACTGTGATGCGTGTGTGCTGTCGATGATTCCCAAACCAAGATGAAACAGCTCTCCAGGTCTCCTTGCTGATTTTCCAATGGTTATCTAACTGATATCAGGCAAACTCGTAAAAACAAATTTAATCCTTACAAACCAAATATTGAAAAATCACAAGGATGAAAACATGAGGTGATCTGTGATAACAAGAATAATTGAATTATAATTACGAATTAAAATGCGGTAATAAACAGGGCGATGAATAAACCTCAGACAAAGTAGCATCATAATTACTGAGAAGATTGACATATATTGTGCAATTAGGGGTTAGAAATGTAGAAATAACAATAATAGACAGGATGTTTGGGTAAAAATATCAAGTGGGATCATAACTAATGTGAGGAATAATTGTTTATGCAATCAAGGATTAAATATGAAGAAAAGTCCACACACAAAAATCCCACATGGACTGGACAATTCATCAAATTTCAAAGCTTCGTGCCCCTAAGCAGAGAGAGAAACCTGATATACGCTTTTATATTCCATCAGCTATCCTTTGCCATGTAAATGTGTTCTTGTTCCATTATTAAGAGTTGCTGAGTATGTGTGCTCTTTAACACACACACAAAATGTTCCGTTCCTAATCGTTTCAATTCTTAACTTCTCTGCCTAATAGGTATGTTTAGAAAATTTGGAGAAAGGCTGTTTCATCTAAAAATTTACAGACAGTAGCAGTTTCAAGGGTTGCTGGCAAGAACTCGTCAAAACGCACTCAACACTTTTTTTAACTTAATGTCCGAATATGTGGTATTCGTTGGGCACTTTTAAGTAATGCTCAGGAATCTATCCAAAAACTCACGCCTTTAAGGTAACATCCATCCTTCTATTTTGCTATATCGGTGACGATAAGGATTAAAACAGGTGAAAGTACTGTTCTGTAGGAATAAATGCAAACATGAGCTAGGTTTGAATCGAGAAGTCAATGAGGCCATCATTAGTGCTGTTGACAACGTTTTGGTGCTTGTGATTTCTCTGTACACAAGTGAAATCTGATTCACCAAAACTGGTGATATCCGTCTTCCCTACACTTCAGTTTCCATGATATCTTCTGTATATGTAGTGAGAGAATTTCGTCAATATTTCCAAAGTATGGTGCTGTTTGTCTCAAACAGGTTACATGAAGGATTTAATCATGAGCTGACATCAGTTAGAGAACCACTGGAAACCACCTGGGAGTACTGAACAGTTGTTTCATCCTAGTTTGGAAATCTTCAGCAGTACGCTCCCACCTCCATGGTTCGGACACAGGATCATCTCAGTTCTTTCTCCCAAACTAGAACGAAACAGCTTGCTCTCCCATACTCCCCTGTTTTCCAGTGGTTCTCTAACTTATGTCAGCTCATGATGAAATCCTCCATACAATCAAACGAAATCCCTACAAAACCAATACTAGAGAATTAAGCTGATGCTCACTAGCGACTAGTCCTATTCAGGCAGTTAACCTGGGGTTCTACTGGGAAGCCGTGACCAGTAGGATTCATCAGGTCAAAGATGAGGCAGTAACTCATAAAAGAAGACATTGCGAAACGGTCGTGCTGTGTAGTGAATTGGCAGAAGTTAGAATTCAAGAACCATTGGATCGGGTCCTAGTGGCTCAATGGTCTACGAGTTCGCTTGCCTTGTGACCAGAAGGTCCTGGGCTCGAACCCCGGTGGGTGCGTACTGATGAAGTGTTCCACACGAGAAGGGAACAGCTGTCTGGCAGTACCCCTAACTGGCTTTCCAGTGGTTCTCTAACTAACGTCAGCTCATCATGAAATGCTTCATACAATCAAACAAAATCCCAACAAAACCAAAATCCGAAAATCAAACTGGTTAAATGATGCAACCTTCAAATGTCGTTTTTTTTGGCAAAGTAAATGTGGGTGAAGAATATATTTTCGAAAGCTTTCTCGCTCACTTATCATTCGTTAGTCTTGAAAATACCTAGAGAAAAATAAGAGTTAATCAGTTCATGAAGGATAATGATGCTGGATTTGTATCTGTTGATGAATAACTATTCTGTGAGTAGACGTAATCTGATGCTCACTAGCAACTGGCCCTATTCAGGCAGTTAACCTGGGGTTCTAGTGGTAAGCCGTGACCAGTAGGATTCATCAGGTCAAAGATGAGGCAGTAACTCACCAAAGAAGACATTGCGAAACGGTCGTGCTGTGTAGTGAATTGGCAGAAGTTAGAATTCAAGAACCATTGGATCGGGTCCTAGTGGCTCAATGGTCTACGAGTTCGCTTGCCTTGTGACCAGAAGGTCCTGGGCTCGAACCCCGGTGGGTGCGTACTGATGAAGTGTTCCACACGAGAAGGGAACAGCTGTCTGGCAGTACCCCTAACTGGCTTTCCAGTGGTTCTCTAACTAACGTCAGCTCATCATGAAATGCTTCATACAATCAAACAAAATCCCAACAAAACCAAAATCCGAAAATCAAACTGGTTAAATGATGCAACCTTCAAATGTCGTTTTTTTTGGCAAAGTAAATGTGGGTGAAGAATATATTTTCGAAAGCTTTCTCGCTCACTTATCATTCGTTAGTCTTGAAAATACCTAGAGAAAAATAAGAGTTAATCAGTTCATGAAGGATAATGATGCTGGATTTGTATCTGTTGATGAATAACTATTCTGTGAGTAGACTTGTAGTGGTAACGGAACTCGGTGGGTAGAGAAAATATAGGATCTTTATTAGCTTCCTTGTTCCGATTGTCATTAAATGAAATACCAAACCACGGACTGCCAATGAGCTAGTAATGCAAATGTCTGTCGTTATTCCATTATCCAAAGACCGTTTATTTATCTATCCTCTCGTTCCTTGATTGCATATATCGAAGTTTACACTGGAACTAGTTTGCATTTGATTAAGTTAATATTGTTTAGCTAACGGTATCCAATGAATACTCAGCATACAACCGAATTATACGATTATTAGTTGACATTTAAGCCGCCAATTTGTAAGAATCTACCTCAGTAAGAGTAACTTCATGAAGAAATAAAAACAGAAAAGGGTAATATACAGATATAACCTCATGAAATCAGTACTCCTTGATGACTTCATTATTCGTGAATCAATAATTCGTGCAACGACGGATGCTAGTGACATCCCGCTAAGCTTGAAATCTTAGAAATTTGATTTTCTTTGTGATATGGTGCACTCAGCGCATACCAACTATTATTTGCCTTCTTTACATTGAGAAGTGTACAAACAGTACGTCCCACTCCGCCCAATACTAGATATGATAGATTCCCCATATCTTACAGCCGCTAAATGGCTGATGGAAATTCTCGGGTCGGTGAAAGAGAAGCTGTCAAGACACAACCTCCGTGACACATTCGACTTTGTTGATTCAATTAAGAATGTCAACGTGGCAGAAAAGAAAATGGCCACCTTGGATGTCGTCTCTCTCTTCACCAACGTTCCATTGACAGAAACCGTATATTTCCTTTGTGACTACATTCAATCCAATAGCATCAATGTCGGTATACCGATCCATTACCTGAAAGAACTGTTACTACGATGTACTTTTTAACAAGGAAAAATATAGATGGAGTAGCAATGGGTTCTTCCTAGGGACCCCTCCCAGCCGACTGCTTTATGGCTAGCTTAGAAAACAACCCTTTATCACCAGCTATCAACGACCTTCATCTCTACAAGAGATACATCGATGATACTTTCATTATTTGTGATGAGAACTGTGACCTAAAAAACCTACTCCAAGTCTTCAATGACACCCACCCAAACATCGACTTTACACTTCAGACTGAATCCGACGGAATGTTCCACTTCCTCGACATCCACCTGACAAGAAATGCCAACAACTCTCTGGAAAGGTCCATATACAAAAAGCCTACATGAAATGGACAATTCATCAACTTTCAAAGCTTCTTGCCTCTAAGCAGAAAAAAAAACCTGATATAGGCTCTTTCCTCAAGGATTCGGAAGAGATGTAGTAAGGAAGTGATTGACGAAGAACTGCGTAATCTTCCGAACAAGTTCAATCCGTTCCAAAGAAAATGCTTCTGGTTAATCTGCAGTTCAAAGGTGATATTGAATCAGAAATCCTTCGTAACTCCCACTGTAAATCTCTGAGAAAGACATAATTCGCCGCGAGCCTACGGCTGACGTTTCCCTGTAAGAAACTGTTCAACGTGAAGGCGAAAGACAAGCTGTCGCATTGGGCCACCTCAGCGTGCATATACCAGTTTACTTGCTCTTGTGGGGCTGTGTATACCGGCCGTACGATGCGCCGATTTGAAAAACGCGCTAATGAACACTATCCAGCCTGGGTAGTAAAAGGAAACCAAGAACGTGTACACAGTTCAGTGACAGAACATCTAGTCAATTCAAGACATTCAGCGCTATTCGAAAAATCCTTCAAAGTAATATACAAGATTCAATCAAACCTGTCAAAGGGAGTAAAATTAAGACATCTGGGCATAGTTGAGGTACGACCTATCCAAAAGCTCAAACTGACGCTATGTATCCAAAAGAAATATGTCCAACCCCTGTCCCTGCC